ACAACGTCGAGTTGATTTTTCGAAAATTCTCAATGAATTGGCACCATTTATGATCGGTTCACCATTAACAATGCAAAATCGTCAATTGAACTGTTATAGTTCAAAAGAAAAGGCAGAAGTATGTGTTGAATATCCAAATCAAGGTTCATGTGCTTTAGGAAATACAATAACAAAGAATAAATTTACTCGATCGTGTCAACCTAGTCGATATCAACCTGAAATATCAATTAGAATGTATCAAGATCCAAGTACTGCAACATTTGATATTCTATGTACGCAAAATTTATGTAATACACAATCAACATTAAATTCTATAAAAGATATTTTATTTCGATACAATGTAACACAAACACCAGATGGTCGATTAACTGGCTCAAGATTTCAAGTTTCTGCTTTTCTTATTTTAATTATGATATCTATTGCATTTTTTAATTATCATAAATAAAAAACATGATTTACATTCTGATATTTCATTAAATAAATACAGAAATATGTTCATGATATTTTAATGAAAAAGAATCTGAAATGCTTTGCATCTACTTGTGAATGAGAGAAAAATATTTTTATTAATGAGAAAAAATATTAGTCTTTTTCAAGTGAACATTGTAGTTATTGTTCGTTGAGCTACAAATGAAAAAATAGTTTCTATTCTAGGTAGATTCGCTGATTTAATGAGATATCGACATAATGGGCATATATTTCCAGCTCGTTAGACATTTAAAATAGGGTGTAGATATGGGTTTGAGTGGATGTGGGAGTTCTATTTTATTTAAAATCACCCATACCCACTCTCAATCTCTTGATTAAAACTGTTATTATAATTTCATTGACATTTAATGTTCATTTTTTTGTTTGTCTGTTGAATAAAATAATCATTTTCACATTAGCTCATCAAATAATTATTTTATATCTTTTCTAATCCAATCATATATCTATTTAGGAAAACGAGAAAGTTATAGAACTTTTTATTTCAGACATTTCTCAAACATCGATCAATATATGAACGGAGAATATAATCAAACGTTATTTCGATTACAGTATATCCCTCAACGATTCCTTGTTTAATAAATTATTTTTTATTTTTCTCATTGTTTGTCTTTATATTTACGCCGAATTATTCTTCCCAAATCAATGAAATATCTCCTATGCTTTATTCATTACTTTGTTAAGGGTTATTTTTACAATTTACCTTTTAATGAAAATCTCTCATTATGTTGTTATTCTGCTTTTTTTCTACAATACTGAACTAATGTTGAATTTTCTTCTCATTCATCTATTTTTATCATTTTTAATTCAATCTCAAAACAGTTCCAATAACTTGAGGATGTGGTTCATGCAGGAGCGTAAATAGGGGGGGGGGCTGGCGCCCCCCCCCTGCTTCCGAAAACTAATAGGAAAAAAGGGGTTTGCGCCGCCCCCTACTTCTTGAAAGTTCACTTTTTTGACCACTGAAATAGAAAAATTAGGGTTATGCCCCCCTGCTCCGACACCTGACTTACGCCCCTGGGTTCATGTGAAGGTAGTCATACGCACGCCCCCAAATTATGTATATAGTAAAAGTATGTCTATTTATTTTCGAATTGATATAAGTCTATTCAAGGTTTGTTTAAATATTATAAATCAGATCATATCAGAAAGACATTGTTGTTCCATTTTAGTGGCTTTTTCACAATAAAACTTTGCCATTGAATATTCACCTACTTTATCATACGCTTCACTTATCATCCAATATAAAATAGCCAATTTATGATGGTTTCCAGAAAGCTGTTCTTGGATTTTAATTGCTTTTTCATAATTTGAAATAGCTTCTGAGTAATTCTCACTTTTAAAATGTATAATACCAATGTTATTATAAGAAATAGCCGTTTCAGATTGATTTTCAGGAAGATAAGCTTGTCTCATTTTGAGTGCCCGTTGATGATTTAACATTGCGTCTTGGTCTCTGCCCATTTTCGAAGAGCATACAGCAATAGTGTCATAGGAATTGGCTATATCAGGATGGTTTTCAGGACGAAATTTTTCAAAAATTTTAAGAGCTTCTTCAAAAGACTGAAATGCTTTTGAGTGTTCACCTATTTTAAAATACGTCAAACCCAAGTTGTGACAAGAAATAGCCATTTCACAATAATTAATAGGATGGCATTGCTTTTGAATGTCTAGCGCTTTCTCTATGTACGAAATACCCATGTCGTACTTTCCTATAGCTGAATATGCAATACCGGTGCTGCAATAAGAAGCGGCTAGCACAGGATCATGTGGGGAAAGAAAGCCTTTTCTCATTTCAAGTGCCTTTTCGAAATACTCAATAGCTAAATGAAATTTGCCCATTTGTTTATACAGTTCGCCAATATTATTGATAGTAGTAGCTTTTGAATAAGGACCCATAGAAAGATGATATCTATTTTTTTCAAGTAACTCTTTAACAAGCGGAATATACTCTGCATGTTCCTTGTACAACTCAGAATTCTTATCTTTTAGTTTACTTTCAAAGACAGCTGACATAACTATTGCTGAATTATCAATGTCATTATAGATGGTCAAACACGTTAGATAGTATTGCATTGCATGATCCAAATCACCTTTTTGTGTTTCTATTACTCCAAGTTGATGAAGATACCGTGTTTGTAAACCGACTTCCTTGGTGTTGTCTAATAAATTCTTATAGATCACTTCAGCTTGTTGTGGAAGATTCATTTTGATCATTAAATGTCCTGCTCGTTCCCACGGGGTATCTCCTTTCGCATTTTGTCGAATATTTTCAGTCATTTCATTCAATTCTTCGTCCGTATCAGTTGTTAATATCAGATCTACGTCCCAAATATCATCATCAATGTCATCACGTTTTTGCATTTTCATGAGGCGAAAGACAGAGTGCATAGAGAATAAAATTTCTTCTTCGTCGAGTATATCACTAGTTTCTTGTATTTTTGCAAAAGCGTTGGTTTCTATAGTACAGTCGAGTTTTATTCGAAAAAGCACTCCAACTTCGTTAGAGTCTTTATGTCCAGGCGTAGCAAACATCAAAGCTGCTTTTTGATCGAGACTAGTTGACAAGAAATTATTGAATGACAATAATTTACCTTCTGTCTTTCGCAGTTTATCAAAGTATTGTAGCGGCGCTACTAGTCCGCGATATACATAAAATGATTCCCATTTCCCATTTCCATACTGTTGAAAATGAAGAGAAGCGATTTGTTGATGAAGGTCGCGAATGAAAAAATCAAATTTAATAATTAAATTCATATTCATCGTACGTAATGCTTCATTAAGATGTGAGGAAATGAAACCTGGTTTTGTATACCAGCGGATAACATCATGTATATGATATTTTTGTTTAAAATCTTCAATTTTTTTAAGCATGACAGTATTATTATCGTACTTTTTACCCCAATAAGTGATAAATTCATCAAAATGTTTCGGTTTGAAATTGGGATCTAAAAATATCTCTTTTAAAATACTTGTATAAATAAACGATGATTCCAATCCTTTGTCATTGCTTTGAAGTGTTTTAGTATCTGATTGTAGATAAGAAAGAATAGTATGACCTTGATAATATATTCTAATAGTTTGTTTAATTAATTTACATATCGATATTAGATCAACATAATCATAATTCACTTTTGGTGATAGATATCTGTTTTGTTTATAATCAGATTTATTTTGTTGAAGAATATAAGTTGAATCGATTTGTGGAAAATCGTTAACGACAGAAATTATATTTTCGACATGTTCACCGGAATAAATTAGAATCACATTTTCTTCATCAACTTGGATTTCACTGATATAATCAAAGCATTCTTGTATAGTCGAGAATTTTTGAAAATTATAAATTACTTCCTTTAAATCTTGGATAATAATATTAAATTGATCATTATTACTATTATCATCATCTAACCATACAAGATGAAAATATGAAATATTATTATTGATATATTGAGATTTTATTAAATTGTTCTTTTTGTCCATAATATTTCCAGTTAATGATAATAAGAATACTAAAACTATTAAATATAATTCAGTGTATACTATTTCAAATACTCTTTATTCTCAGTTAAATCCATCACATTGAATCAAAATTTTATGCAAAGAGATTTTTAATTATATGAAAAAAGTATTCTATTATCGACAATAAAAAAATATCTCTTTTTTAACATTGTTAAGAAAATAAAACTGAGGTGAAGTATCGATTTATAATATCCATCAAAATGTGTTTAATCTAGTTATACTTGAATAATCTCAAAATGAGAAGAAACAATATTTAAAATATTATCATTTTATTTCGAATTCTATTGTATAGAAAATAATTTCAATAAAGATCTTTAACTATGATTTTTGAATATTCTAATTAGAATTAATCCGACAAAAATTACAACTTTTACTCTTGGCTTTCGTAAATTTTTGAAAAATTATTTTATTGTCGAACTCATCTATTGTTATTAACAGACATTATAGATAAATGTAATTGAGGATAAAAACAAGCTGAAAAGGGTAAAAGGCAATACTCACCTTTGAATTATATATTTTCTTTCGTTTATTTCACTTTGATGAGAAATATAAATATTGTGATAAATATTATATATTTATTCATTTGGAATATACAAATATTGTCATGAAAGTTTTTTTTATAAAATGTGAAGGAAATAAAAGTACTCAAAATATATGAAATTAATCCGTGCAAAAATATATACATACAAATAAATTGTATTCATATTTTACGATTGGTATTTCAATACGAAACTATTTTTTATCTAAATTTTCATCTGATAACTTTTTTATAATTTTGTTTTTTTCAAATACGCGTTCGAGTCTACTATAATTATCGTAAAATTGTCAACATTTTTAATTGTACAGACGATAGTTTTTTTAGATAAAAAAAAATTAAAATGAATGCCCTTTGATATCATCCATAGATGAAAACAATTTTTTTTGCACTTAATTTTTAGCTAAACACGTTTACTCTTTTCAATAATATAATTTAATGATCATTTCAATTCTAATTTATTAATTCAATCTTTAAAAAAACAATCTAAACGTACATTTGCCTATTATATTTAAAGATCATTTGTAATAAATAGAAACATTAAAATAAAATATGAAAAACATTATTTTTTTTGTTCAATATTTCGATAGATTTTGAATGTATCATTTATGTTATCATTGTCACAGCTGTTCGTCGATAAACTTCATCGGAAACTCATTAGAATTATATCAAACATCTTTCAAAAAGAATCTAATGATCAACAATAACTTCTTATTAGTCAAAGTATTCTAATTGGTTATTTACCGTACACCATCACAACTATACAGAAAAGAATCTAGCAAACCAATAAAAAAAAAGTTTAAACGACTATGTTATCGATCATGAATTCATATTCTTATACATTAAAATGTCGACTTGTAGATTGTTTAAACATTGATGACAACGCACCTTTTAAAATATGATCGAGAAATTTCTTTCCATTATTTCTAGTCTGAATAACATTGTTTCGTTTTCTTCACAATTACATCAACAAACATTTTGTTCTTTTCATAATTTACTTTTCAAATCAATACAAGCGTGTGAGTGTGAGTAAATATGAAACAAAAAAATAAACTTAAAACAAAATCGTACACTATCATTATAAGACGTATTTAAAAATGAGAGCATGAAAATATCAATGCATCCGATTATATCAGACTTCACGGACTTTTAGAACATGTGATTAGTTTTAGATATAGCATAATGAACATACAAAGATGCAAAGAATTCTATCCAAAAACATCTTGGATGAATATCATTTTCACAAACAATTACTAACATTCGCAACCATCTCATGTCTATACACTCCCACCACTCTCAATAAGTGAATGCTGGGAATGAGGCATGGTAACAGAATGGAGAAGAAATGTTTGTGTAAATAAAAAATAAATTGTATACTTGCGAAGAAAAAAAAGGTTATGAAGTATGAATTTTTTTTCAGTATGGATAATGAAAAAAAGAAACTATCTTTGGCATTATTCATTATTAAGACACAATTAAAATATGAATTCTAAAGTTAAATAGAAATTAGTTATGATTGAATATACTCGTGAAATTTAACTATAAAATTGTTTATTTTGAGATGTTTCTTTTCAAACAAGAATGTGAACTAGTTGTTTATTATTACAAATCAGCATGATAAAATAATTGTCAGTTAGATTTTAATCTTGAAGATATGAATGTTATTTATGCTATTCTATTCATTATATAATCAACATTTATCGTATTCGGCGTCAAGATTATAATTAAACTCTTTCATATTTTTCTGTTCGTTCAAAGTAAAATTCTTATCGATCAGTTTT